GTGTTTGCAGCACTACCATTATTTATTTTTTATAAATAAAAATCAGTTTTAAAAATGTAAAAATCAGTTTAATTGATTTTTATTTATAAAGTTGTATTTATTTTATTTAAATGTATATTTAAGTTTACATTTATGTTCCAACAAACTTGAAAAATTCTGCTTGATAAATGCTCTAAAACTTTTATGTAAATGATTGACAGTTTTTTTTTTATTACCGGTTTTATATATTTAATACTTGGTAAGTTTATTGATTTGTTTGGTTAACTTTGGATAAATATTTTATTTTAATACCGTGCAGTGCACAAAATTAAGATTCGAGAGATGGTTCAAGTCAGTGTTCAATAAATTATGATGTTAAGTTTAGAAATGTTGTGCATCCACTTATTATTAGTGTGACATTTTAGCATGCAAATGAAGGGGAAAACTTCAAGATATCGGCCCTAAAAATCGGCAGCACATATCGGCCATCGGCTGACCCTGACCTCTAAACATCGGCATCGGTTATAGAAAAACCCATATCGGTCGATCTCTACTACAGTGCACACTGAAATAACTGAAATTGGCAGCTAATCCTCGTCATACATGTCACGTGACAAATTACTCTGGTGCTGCAGAAAAGCAACAACCTGACAATCGTGATTGGCTGATCACAATAACATCACAAGGCTTTTACCAGCGATTATCCTGTGACTATTGTTCATAATTGATGGATTTTGCAACATTAAGTTATTGAACTGAGTTGAATCAACACTGAACTTTTCAGCAGAGCTGTTTATAGCTGAATTGATATTTTCTCATTTATGAACTTTACACAGCTATTGAACTGAATCAACATTCAATTGAATGACACTATTGTCATAGAGCTGCTTTACAGAAGAATTTTAATTTGCCTCAGATAGAACTGCTTCGAAACAATCTCTATTGTATAAGTGCTATAAAAACTTGACCTGACTCCTGAGCTGTGACGTCAAGCCAGATGATATGAAAAAAAGGCATTTTCACACTTTTACTTAAATAAATATATAAACTATTATATAAATAAAACAATCAGACATTAGTACAACATCTAATATAATGCCATTTACTTTTGAATGGTCGTCAATGGAGAAAGATGCATTTTGGGTACTTTGTAGCAAACTACATATAGTATCTACAAGCTATATAAATTTAATATTTTGAGTTGCATCTGTAAAATAATTTTGAGCACAAAACATTTTTCCATATTTTACTTAAATGTAATTTAATTTAACTAAAAACTGAGAAACTACAGACAATTTTCAATATTAATTCATATTTGACAGGAAAGAAAGGGAATATTCTATGTACAGGTGCATTATAAAGCCACTTTATTTATTTATTTTTTGTGGCAAAGGAGGGAGTGTATGCTGTGTACTGTATGTCAGTGGTTCTCAAACCTGTTCTGGAGTACCCCCAGCCCTACACATTTTGTATGTCTCCCTCATCTATCACACCTGATTCAACTCATCAGCTCATTGGTGGAGACTGCAAGACCTGAAGTGGGTGTGTCAGATATAGGGAGCCATACAAAATGTGCAGTGCTGGGGGTACTTCATGGAGAGGTTTGAGAACCACTGCTGTATGTGAACAGATATGTGCGTGCATGTGTGTGTTAAGTAAGTGAGAGGACTGGGCATGAAGTTACGCCCCATAGTCCTGTTCCCACAGCTGGGTTGGGCCAGGCAGGGAGGATAAAACAAGAACCACAAAAGCCCTCAGGAATGCACTTCCACTAGGACTGTGAAACAAATCTGTTTCATTCAGACATCAGTGAAATGTGCATTCATTCGAATGCATGAATTTCTGAAATTAATGCACTGAGGATGCAAATCATCCTAGAAAAATATTAATAAAAAAGTCAAGCAATGTCGCAATGCAACATATTGTACAACATAACAGTAAGAATTTAAGAATTTATCTCAGCTGTCTGCAATAACCAAACCCAATGTACTGAATGTTTTAAAAATAGAGCATTTTGAGGCAGCAGCAAATAGAAATCATCTAAAGCTGTTTTGCCAGTGGTGTCTGAAAAATATATATAAAATAAATCTAAGCATATCCTGGCAACCACAGAACACAGAATGAAGAGAAGACCTTGGCATTTCTCTTCACATACCTCATTTCATTCAAAGCTGTCCATCTCCATCCCCTATCTGGGAAGGAATTAGCTTCCAAGACCGTTTCATTGTTTCCCACACACGCATTGTGAGCTTAATAACGCGTGGGTGTAGTTTCGATCAGTCAGGTAGGTCAGGTTTCTGTTAACGTGACTGCATACCTTTGAGCCATATCGGCACACACAATGATCTGTGGAATTCTTGGCATGCCCAACATAGTCGCAAAGACAGCAGTTTAGAGAGCAAACAGCGCTGACCCCTTTGTTTCAATCTGGTTTTTGCATTTGTGCAGCAAGTCACAGGTCAAAGTGTTCAGGATTCACACACTGCTAAAGCGCTCAATATTAAGGCAGTTCTTTCGTTCATTATCTCTTCAATTTGTACAAACGTGGATACGAGAATGTATGGAGCACACGACCGATCTCTGGTTTGAATGTGTGTATGCTGAGACCACCACCTGGTATTCTTATAATATTTAATAATATGGTGGAAACAGTTCTGCAGATGCTCAGTTCTTGATGTTAAACCATTACACAAATAATGTCTGCCATACAATTTTTGGTTAATTAGTATTCAAGCTGCTGCCATTGCTTTCTACAACTATTTCTGTAATTTCAAATGCCTGAAATATGCATTTCAAATGTGTCCCCATTTAGCTAGAAATAATTTATACTTGTCACGGTTGCCTTCTGTGGCGAAACGAAGAACGAGGAGACGTGGGATAAACTCAAAGTAAACAGTGTTGCCAACTGCTTTCAATTTAAAGTAGCTAAAACTGGTAGCTAAATGTCACTAGATTACATCACAATGGCAAATTCACTGATCTATACAAAGATGAGAACTTAGATAAGGTTTGTCCAAGAAGTTGCAATATTTGTCCCTAAACTTTTGAAAAAAGTCTCAAAAGCTAAATTGGCAACACTGAAAGTAAATGTCTTTAATCATCCAAGACGGGTAAATAAAACAAGGCAAGCAGGGACACACAAGAAACACAACATTGACGTTCAATACCAGACAAACTCAAATAACACAGACAGGAACTTAAGTACATGGGGTAATTGACAAGACACACCTGGGAGCAATCAACAATCAAATGCAGGGGAAAACCAAATAAACAAACTATAATGAGGACAGGAACATAACCAAATAAGGGCATACATAAACAGGAGGCAGGAACAGAGGGAAATCAAAACAAAAACAGACCATAAATGTGACAATACTGGCATCGTCTGTGAAATGTTATTTTTTGCACTGTTCTTGACGACAAAAACTGTAATCAGCTAATTTGACTGATGCCACAATGACTTAAGCTTACTTTTCATTGATTATGAGAGACAATAGACTCAATGTCATTATTCCCAAAAGTTAGTCATGAACTGCAGATGCAGATTCATATGTTCAGATGGGTTGAAATATTTCAACTCGTATGACTACACAGTACGTGACCATCAGGATGTGATGTAGCCTATTCTAATCAGTTTTGTGCGCAAGGTGAAAATTATCCAAAAAAAAATGAAAAACTGAAAACACACTACTTGTTTCTTCTGTAGAGTCTAACATTATAAATATTTAAGTTGCTTAAAAATGCAGCTTTAGGCAAAAAGTATTGGTGGTCATTTGATTTATAGCTATTAATTTATTCTTCATTCATTCCACCATGGTCAATAAGAGGAGGAAAATGCCTTTCAGTCCTGTTTCTGTATTGGAAACGAAAACCGAAACACCACAGGTCTGTTTGGATAAATTGTCAGCTTCACAAACAAATTAATCGTTTATTAAAAATGCCACTAGGGGGCGAATTGCGACGGTCGCATTCTGAGGTAATTTGGCAATAAGTGATAATGAAGTAGCGGAAACTTTGACTTCTCCAGCAACAGCTGCCAAGGTTCCTCGTCTTTTGGTTGCTTTCAATTCCTGTTACCAGAGGCCAAAGAAAATAAAAGCTAAGTGAAATCTAATCAACTGTCATTGAAGCAGAATCAGTCTGAATGTGTGCAGAGCTTTTCTACAGCTGCTGATGTCCCTGACAGAGAGGAATAGATAGAGTGCCCTTCATGCTAACAATGCACACCATCTGCCTATTCTCTTCCACTGTGAGCGTGAAGATGTCATACACTTCACCTAAAGACACAGCTGAGGGAGATGGTCAGCATCCAGCAGCTCTCATTTCATGCCACACTCTTGCAGCAATGCTCACTTTCACCGTCATGCTGTCATCCACCTGGAGAAGGAAGATATTTTACAGAGGGAAGAAATAAATAGAAGTTTGGAAAATAATATGCAGAGAATGATGCCAAAATGTCCTGCGCTCTCTTTTACTGCATGAATTGGAATGAGAAGGCATGAAATAAGATGGGAAGGGTTGCATGCAGTGGTAAAACAGCATGCAAAGAAATACCAGAAAAGGGTTTTTAAATTTCGTCAAGGATCATGAAAACAAGATGCAAAATGTGCATCATGACTACAGTAAAAGAGTTTATTCAAATATACTGCTGACAAAAATTTGATGAGAAAATAATGAAAAATATTAGCATGGTTTTTAAGAGGAATACCTAAATTTCAAATAATCCAATCATAGTCAATAATGTTAGGGATTGGCATTAAAATTCTTAGCATTGTATTACAATAAAGTACTCATTATATTATGTTTATAATGTTATATAATGTTTTTGTTAAATTATTATGTTTTAAAAGCATTTTTAAATATTTGGTTTAAGTTTGTTCTCAGGCTAAGATTAGATGCCATTTTAGTCTGAATAAACTTAACTGAAATGAATCCATTTTCAATCATTATGAAATATTGACTCAATTTTCATGATATTTTTGTTATTGTTTTATAGATAAACAAAAATCTGTGTAAAAAAGAACACTGCTCTTACATTTGCAAGGGAATGGGATAGATGAAGAATAATCCATTCTTCCAAATTCTCCCTGCATCTGCAGTGCTCAAAATGATCATGTTTCCATTAATTAGCCATTGATTGCACGGAGAGGGTTCATTTCCTATTGTGCCCTATTGCTTGACTCTGAAGATGTTCATTATTAACCTCCTATACAGGTGGCTCACATCCCTCACCCCTTAACTGTGAAATCTTCAGTTGTAACACCATCATGCTAATTCAGTTGGTTTACAGTAGGGCTGTGCAATTAATCACATGCGATTGTCATGCGCATCTCGTCAGTAAAGCCGGTTCCGTGATTGGTAGTAAATCTCCATCACCTGCTTTCAGATGGAGCGGCATTTAATACACAGAGCTGTAGTTCACCGACAAGCTAGGCGATATCGTGTTCATACTCAAATGCGCTTCATCTGCAATTATGAACGCGATATTGCCTAATTGTCAGTGAACTACGGCTCTGTGTAGTGAATGCCGCTCAATCTGAAAGCAGGAAATCACGGGACCGGCTTTACTGACGAGATGCGCATGACAATTGCATGCGATTAATTGCACAGCCCTAGTTTACAGGCTAATTCAGTATATTTATTAACAAATATTGACATTCCACCTGAATTAAGTCTGTACTCCAATATCAGATGGCGCTCCATAAACGTGGTACATTGAGAATTCCGGAAAGCATTCTCAGAGAGAAACTCTTTTACATTTATGTCTCTTTGAGTGGGTTCATCAAGAAAGCACACAAAAGACAGCGAGCTCAGTGTCTCGGTAAAGCAATCTCCCCATTGTTCACTGCAGAAAAAGCTTCCAGACCCAAGTCGCCTCTTCTCTGCCTCTCTTACTCTTGCATTCAGCCTAACTATCTGTGGCAGTGATTGAATCGCTCTGTCCTTTGCTGCGAGGGCCCTACCTTATTTAATCCTTTACGTGGCAGGTCACTCTGTGAGCGGATGCTGTGTAAACAGTGCGGACCCTTGATGTGGGGGCTCTAGGGTAAGAGAGCAAGGGCAGAGGGTTATGGAGTCTCCTGGCTTGGGAACAATGGGCCTTTAGAATGTAGGGGCAATGGTGCACTGACCCTTAGCAAATAAGAATCATGTTCTGACATTCCAGCCTTGATTGGCACTTTGAGCTTGAAAAAAAAATCTCAAAGGAACACAGGAAATGCTACTTGTGTAATTGGTTATATATTAGCGCTGCATTCTCCTAATTTAAAGGATGGGAAATTCCTGGGTGACAAATGGAAGAGACTGTGGCATTCCAAAGGTTGAGGTTAGCCGGAGAAAAGACCAAGATTAAACCTGGGGGCCGTGGCAAGGAGATAACTACCCTAACACCACTTGCAGATAAATTATCTTCCTATCTTGTTCTCTTTCTCTTTTTCATTCTTTAATCCATCCCGTTCCAGAGTTTCTGTGACTGAAATCTTTTGGCTCACGAGTATGGAACAGTAATCGCACGAGCGGCATGTATTAGCACACATATCAGAGGTAGGGATGGCCAAGAGATCACACCAATAATCGGTCAAACTGAAATTTATACATCTGTGCTTGAACGTATCAAAAACTGGCTGAATTTTTGATTTTGCAATTGGTTAAGGAAGTACCTTACTTTAAAACAGCTAGATGGATCCTAAAAATGTGTGGTTACTTACATTTGTAATTTTTCAAGCAAAAGAAAGAAGGACCAGATGGAACAAAATATGATAAATAACCAGTGGCGTACCGTGGGGTTTCAGTCAGGGCCTTCAGTAAGCACCTGTAAACTGCATACCCCTATACATCTATCTTACACATCTCTGTAACAGCTAACGCAGCCATATGCATATAATTTGCATATTATGCCAAACATAGGCTCTCAACAACAACGACAGCTGATCAACAATTTCAACAGTAGGCTAGATTAGGGTGGGTTAAATGCAGAGTAAATTTCCCTACATGGATCAGTAAAAGTAATCCACCAATACACGGGTCACTATGCACATTCACGTCACTCTTAAATGACGACACGCCCACAGCAGCAAAAGTGTACAAATGCTGGACATCCACACACCACGCCACAGTATTATCAACGCACCACGTACACCTCCATAACACTGTGCATGATACAATACTCGTCAAACAATAAAGCACTCACCTGTCACTTGTAAAGAAAGTCCATGCGTCTGTCATTCCATGTCCCTTTACTCGTATTAAAAAGTAAACATGGCCAAATAACTTCTTGTGCTTGGTGCTAGCTGTTAGCCATTCATAGTTGTAATCTTTGAAATAGCGCACAAAACCTTTGTTAGCTCATTCAGTTTGGGGGTAGGTCTTCCTTTCTCAGTTATTCCTCTTTTGTCTGCGAAAGAGCGCCTTAAAAAAAGCATTTTTAGTAGATCGGCAACAAGAACTGGTGTAGGCGCCGGCGCCGACTGCGGCTGTCATTTTATTTTTCTTCTTCTTCCGTTTTTTTGGTGTGTTACATCCTGTGTGCATATCGCCACCTACTTTTGCTGTTCTTCTTCTTCTTTTGGTTTTATGGCGGGTTGCGAACCAACTTCATATGTGCATACCGCCACCTACTGTGATGGAGTGTGAAGACAATGTACCATTTCTCACCTAAATCTTAAATTCTGTTCATTATTCCACAATTCTTAAGAAATCTCATGATTGCACTTATTTGTTTTCCTGCATTTGGACCATTATTCAGAATACTACTTCATGAAAATTCTTTAACTCCTAAGGATTGTAATTCATCTTTAAGTCTATCCCTTTCTCTTTCATATGCTGTACATATCATCATAACGTGCTCCACTGATTCCTCTGTTAAACAAACATTACAAAGACCAGTATTGTGTTTCCCTATAATGTATAGTGTTTGGTTAAGATTTGAATGTCCTGTTCGTATATGTGTTCAAATGACTTGTTCCCTTCTACTTATGTTATGAATTATTTTTCTTCTCTTTATACTCCTTTGTACTTTGTGATAATGCCTACCTGTTTGACATGAGTCCCAGTATATCTGCCATACAATATTGCATGCATTTAATATGAACTGTTTCCCTTCTATTCTACTGAGTGCAATATTTATACTTGGATCATCCATATTTAAGGATTCTTTAGCCATTTTATCTACCTCTTCATTACCTTGAATTCCCACATGTGCAGGAATACTTTTGCTGTTATGCAGTCATGGTTTATTTATAAGCTATTTCTTCCTTGTTTTTGCTTTTCCTGTTCTTACACACGTATATACACAAATATTCCTACTTAAATAATTATTAGATGCTCCATCCCATTCCTTCTCCCCAGGCTCCACCTGGCGCTGCATGTTCAGCTCCTCCAGACTAAATCCGTGATCTCCTAAAGATCCAGAATAGAATAGAGCATCCGCATTCTATATTTAAATCCTTTCACTTAACCCAGTAGTATATATGTATTTTATTAATATCCTGTATTCTTCTCTATCTCTGTTAAACTCATATCCTATTAAGTATTCCAAATCCTTATTTACCTTACCTTTTTTGTTTAAATATGATATTAACTCCTTTCTTTCTTCATCATACCTTGTACAATTATATATTACATGCTCCACTGTTTCTTTCTCCCCACAATTCCCACATAGACCAGTAGCATGTATTCCAGTTATGAACAGTGAAGCGTTCAATCCCGAGTGTCCAAGTCTCATCCTAGTTATTATAACCTCTTCTTTTCTATTTCTAACACTTCCTTTAGTATTAACCTTTTTTTATATTATGTAAATGACTTCCCTTATTATCTGTATTCCATTCTTTAATAATATTTTCCTTAATGATAGTTTTAATTTCACCTTTACTTAAAGGAACATTAAAATCTATTACTTCTCTTTTTAAAGCATTTTTTCTGTCATTTTCTTTTAGTTCAATTTCACTTTCATACCTTGGAAATTCCCAACTAAGCGCTGGGGGTAGCACCGAGCAAGTAGCTAGACCCAGAGGGCATGCTGTCATTGAACGTCAAAATTTGATTGGCTGATGATTCTGTCACTAATGCTCGTTACAAATCAGATGTGACGTCTTTGAACAAAAGGGTAGCACTATCTGTAGTGCTGGCCACAGACTTTTTTTATGTAGGATATTCCAGTTCAACTGCAACGAAACTAATCATAGGCCATTTTGTGGACATTACACAAGTATAAATACCTAAATAATAATAATAGTAAAAAAACATTTTTCACACAATTTTTTTTTATAGGGCCAGCAGAGAAGGCTTTAACTCCTAAGGATTGTAATTCATCTTTAAGTCTATCCCTTTCTCTTTCATATGCTGTACATATCATCATAACCTGCTCCACTGATTCCTCTGTTAAACAAACATTACAAAGACCAGTATTGTGTTTCCCTATAATGTATAGTGTTTGGTTAAGATTTGAATGTCCTGTTCGTATATGTGTTCAAATGACTTGTTCCCTTCTACTTATGTTATGAATTATTTTTCTTCTCTTTATACTCCTTTGTACTTTGTGATAATGCCTACCTGTTTGACATGAGTCCCAGTATATCTGCCATACAATATTGCATGCATTTAATATTAACTGTTTTCCTTCTATTCTGCTGAGTGCAATATTTATACTTGGATCATCCATATTTAAGGATTCTTTAGCCATTTTATCTACCTCTTCATTACCTTGAATTCCCACATGTGCAGGAATACTTTTGCTGTTATGCAGTCATGGTTTATTTATAAGCTATTTCTTCCTTGTTTTTGCTTTTCCTGTTCTTACACACGTATATACACAAATATTCCTACTTAAATAATTATTAGATGCTCCATCCCATTCCTTCTCCCCAGGCTCCACCTGGCGCTGCATGTTCAGCTCCTCCAGACTAAATCCGTGATCTCCTAAAGATCCAGAATAGAATAGAGCATCCGCATTCTATATTTAAATCCTTTCACTTAACCCAGTAGTATATATGTATTTTATTAATATCCTGTATTCTTCTCTATCTCTGTTAAACTCATATCCTATTAAGTATTCCAAATCCTTATTTACCTTACCTTTTTTGTTTAAATATGATATTAACTCCTTTCTTTCTTCATCATACCTTGTACAATTATATATTACATGCTCCACTGTTTCTTTCTCCCCACAATTCCCACATAGACCAGTAGCATGTATTCCAGTTATGAACAGTGAAGCGTTCAATCCCGAGTGTCCAAGTCTCATCCTAGTTATTATAACCTCTTCTTTTCTATTTCTAACACTTCCTTTAGTATTAACCTTTTTTTATATTATGTAAATGACTTCCCTTATTATCTGTATTCCATTCTTTAATAATATTTTCCTTAATGATAGTTTTAATTTCACCTTTACTTAAAGGAACATTAAAATCTATTACTTCTCTTTTTAAAGCATTTTTTCTGTCATTTTCTTTTAGTTCAATTTCACTTTCATACCTTGGAAATTCCCAACTAAGCGCTGGGGGTAGCACCGAGCAAGTAGCTAGACCCAGAGGGCATGCTGTCATTGAACGTCAAAATTTGATTGGCTGATGATTCTGTCACTAATGCTCGTTACAAATCAGATGTGACGTCTTTGAACAAAAGGGTAGCACTATCTGTAGTGCTGGCCACAGACTTTTTTTATGTAGGATATTCCAGTTCAACTGCAACGAAACTAATCATAGGCCATTTTGTGGACATTACACAAGTATAAATACCTAAATAATAATAATAGTAAAAAAACATTTTTCACACAATTTTTTTTTATAGGGCCAGCAGAGAAGGCCCTGCTGGCCCTAACGGCCCACCACTGTAAACAACACAGAAATAATTACAACAAAATAAACATACCAAAATATACTGCCGGCTAGCAAATGAAAAACCCGAAATAACTGTTTTTCAAATAGCCTCATTTTATAGTATTGAAATGTAGAGTTAAACAAAACTGGTTAAGTCGACATTGCCTGGATGAAATTTTTGCAAAATTTGCAAAGAGAAATTACTTCAGCACTGGAAGTACATCATGTGAAATTATGTCTCCCAATCTCCCAATTGCCACTGAAATAACTGGATTACACTAGCGGAATTTTGCTAATCAATGGTAAATGTGACTGCACCTTAACTGAAGGTAATATAAAAATGTTGTCTAAATAAAACAAAACAAAATCAATAAAACCAATAGTCTGAAATGCTACAAATGAATTTAAACATCACCATATTATAATGTATAGAAAAGTGGATATTATAATTTTTTTGTCAGAAAACACAATGACAAATCAGACAAACCGGAAAAGGTAGGTATAGTTTGAGACAGCGCCATTGGTTTGGGATTACTCACGGCTGACTGGACGAGACATCTGTCAATCAACTTATACAGGGATGAACCAGCCGAAGAACAGCAGAGTCATGGTAGAAAGTTCAGAGATGGTATTAAAGTAGCTCAGTTTAAATGTATTGTATGAATTGCCCTTACTATGGAATAAAAAATACGAGGTGTCTATTTAGATTTAGTTAAAAGTAACTGTAAAACATCAGTGTCAGTGGTGCAGGTGGATAAGCACTTATCGTTGGCTTTTTGACACGATCGACCCGGGTTTGAGCCCGCCTTCTGCCGAACTTTTTTTTTCTCCCTTTTCAAATCTCGTATCACATCGTAAAGGCATTTATTTTCAATAGAAATTAAGGAAATAATCAAAAAGTTGAAAATAAAGTATCGGGTAGGGTTAGGGTAGGTGTAGGGAGGGCTTTATTGTACCAATAAGGTGGCATCCATTTAATAATTAAAATG